TGGCCTCCTGGTACGACATTCGCCAGAACAACTGCTCGGGAGAGCAGGAGCTGATGTGTCTACACCCGGGCACCGGAGCCCCGGGGAACCTCTCCACCTTCCTCCAGGTCAGCTGTCCCGCCGGATTAGCCCCGTGGGCCCTCGGTGCTCTTGTGGCAGGGACTTTCTTCCTGGCTCTGGCTGTCAGTGGATCTGTGCTGGCCTGGAGACTTCGGCGACGCTGGGGAGCCAGTGGCCAGGACCTCAGCAAAGCCCAGCGTTCACACGACTCCCCCAGGCTGGTGACAGGCTTCCTGGCAAGCAGCCAGCGACGGAGCCCCAAGGCCCCGGCCACACCACCAGACAGGTCCACGCTGGACTATGAGAATGTCTTCATAGGCCAGCTGGCCGAGGAGTGCTCACGGCCTGCACCCGGGTGAGTGACCACAGATACCTGTCCACAGTGGGTAGTTACTCAGCAGAACATGGTGGTGTACACCTGTCAGGGTTGCAGCCCTCGGGAGTCAGAGGCAGGTGGATTACCACGAGTTTGAAGTTAGCCTGAGAATTTCAAGTGGGCCTCATGCAGGCTGTGTGGCACTGGCCAAGCAGCAGCACATCTCTGTTCATATAAACAGGATCGAGGGCCTAGCTCACCTCCAGGGGTCGGGTAAGGCTCCCGGGGGCCAGCTCGCCTGGTGACCCGCAAACCCGGTTCACAGCTCTGGAGGAGGAGGGGAGAGTGGGCCGTAAGCAGCCCAGACCGTGACTGAGTGCTGTCCGTGTCCCGTGTGACAGCGACGTCTGCCGCATCTCCCTGTGACACCCGGGATGCTCAGCTGGTTAAGACTGGTCGAAGGAGCAGGTGGTGGTGGTGTGCCTGTGTTCCCAGCACCGTGGGGTGGAGGCTGGAGGATGCCGAGTTTGAGGCCAGCAGCCTGACCACATGACACTCTGTCTCAACAAACCAAACACACAAAGAGAAAGAAAAAAACGAGGGAAGTTTGTGGCCAGGAAGAGGGAAGGAAGAGAGAGCCCGGGCTGGAGGCCGAGGAGGCCGGGGAGGCCGGGGATTCGGGGGCGCAGCAGCGGGGGAGGGGTATGCAAATGATGCATTCGAGAAAGCGGAAGTAGCGGGGTGCGGGAGGTCGCTGACCTCCGCGAAGCTTCTCTGTTACTGTTACCACCCCGGCTCCGCCCTGGGCCTGCTGCGCTCTTAAGGACCCGGGTTCGGTTCCTCCCGCACACGTGAAGTTCCCCGCGCTCACAGCCTCCCCTGAGCTCACAGGAAAATGATAATATGAAACACTGTTAAAAAGTGAAGTCGGTGGGCCTGAGCCGTGCTGGAGCGCTTGCCCGGACACACCCGGCCCTGGGCGCCACGACCTGCACCACCCAGATCAGCTCTGGGAGGCAGAGGCAGGAAATCCGAGTACAAGGCTAGCCTGGGCTACATGAGACCTTGTCTCAAAAAAAAAAAATTAGCAAAACACAACGACAAAGCATGTGAAGGTGTGTTCTGGGATTGGAGAGGTGAGAGGGCACATACACCACGCACACGCACCACACACGCGTGCACGGGCGCGCGCGCACGCACACACGTACACGCACCATGCATGCAGACACTACGCACGCACATATAAAAATGAAATTTAGCGTGTTCTTTGCACTCTCGTGTTTTGACGGTGCAGAAACAGAGGCTTTCCGAGCCTTGGGAGTGATTTGCCCGCCCACTGGGGGCTGAGTGTTCAAATCTCTGCCCACGAGGGACGATCTCATCCAAACCACCGAGGACGCTTGGACACCTCGTCCAGCTCCCTGGCCATAGCGGGTTTCCTGTAATGTTAAATACATTAGTAACCCACGCAGGCCCTTCTCCCCCTTTTGACTTAAGAGCTCTAGGACTGAGCGTGTGTGTGTGTGTGTGTGTGTGTGTGTGTGTGTGTGTGTGTGTGTGTGTGTGAGAGAGAGAGAGAGAGAGAGAGAGAGAGAGAGAGAGAGAGAGAGAAGTGCCCCGCATCCCTCTCTGACTCAGTCAAGGCCCTGATGTCCATCTGCCCCTGCAGGAGCCCTTCCGGGGACACCGACTTCTACATGAACTACAAAGGTGACGACCTGGACCCTCAGCCCGTCTACTGCAACCTGGAGTCCCTGGGAAGGGCCCCAGGGTACAACCAAGAGTATGTGGCTCCAGGGCGCTGACCCCAGCCCCCTCCGTGGGGACAGAACACTGAGCCTTGAGACTCTGCCGCCGCTGAAGCCCCCGCGCTCCCCAGGACTCTCAACGTCAGAGGGGGTGCTAGGACCCCAAAGTGGAAAAAGGGTCTTGAGCTGAACCCATGGTCGGGGGCAAGTGGTGCTCAATAAATGCTGTGGGCCGCATGGGGCTAAGTGCCTGACTGACCCAGGATTCCCCATCTCCACCTGGGGTTCCCAGTGGCTCTGCATCCCTCCGGGCCCACCCTCCCCTGCCCTCCCCTGCCCCCTCCCCTGCCCCCTCCCCTGTCTCCTCCCCTGTCCCCTCCCCTGCCCCCTCCCCTGTCTCCTCCCCTGCTCTCCCCTGTCCCCTCCCCTGCCCTCCCCTGTCCCCTCCCCTCCCCTCCCCTGCCCTCCCCTGCACCCTCCCCTGTCCCCTCCCCTGCCCCCTCCCCTGCTCTCCCCTGCCCCCTCCCGTGGCTTCCCCTGCCTCTGTGTGTCCTTTTTTCTTTCCTTCTGTCCTTCCCATCTAGGTTCACTGCTCACCAAATAGACATACAAACAAATAAACAAAAGGAGCCTAAAGACACTCCGAGGCTGTCAACCTGACTGCATCTGGAATTAATTAAAACCTAAGACGGAGGGCACACCTGTTTAACTCAAAGTGGGAAGATCCACTTCTTTTCTTTCTTTCTTTTTGTTTATTTGTTTTGTTCTTCAAAACAGGGTTCCTGGGGTTGGGGATTTAGCTCAGTGGCAGAGCGCTTGCCTAGCAAGTGCAAGGCCCTGGGTTCGGTCCTCAGCTCCGAAAACACACACACACACACACACACACACAAAACAGGGCTCCTCTGTGTAGTCCTAGCTGTCCTGGAACTCAGTGTGTAGACCAGGCTGGCCTCGAACTCACAGAGATCCACTGAGTGCTGGGATTAAAGGCATGCACCATTACCATTACCAAATGTTGGGTCTGGGGTCTCGAAATAATGGGAGACAGACCACCAAAGTTTATTAAACCAGAGGCAAACTTTATAAAAAATTAAAAATTAAGAAAATAAAACACCATGGAGCACAAAAGCTTATCAGCTGGCTGAGACCGCAGCCAATGTTGGAATTCTGGGGCTGTGGCAATGGAGGTGGGTATCAGCCCCCTTTCATAGTGTCAGGCATGGGGTGCATGCTAACAGTCATGTAGAAACACCAGCCATGGGGTGCATGCTAGGAGTCACGTAGAAACGACTATTAAAAGTTAACTTTGGTCCAGGCAGTTGTTGGCTATAAGGGGCAAGGGGGTTGAAAGTTCACCCCTGGCTGTGGACAGGAGCTGCTGTAAAGCAGAGGCATTGTTAGCAGTTAACCTTTAGAGCTGACTAGTTTTTATCTCTTAAGCTTATAATTTTATATTTCTATATTCCTGGACCCTTCACAATTCAGCAGCACCTCCTCCCACCTGGAAGATCCACGTCCAGTCTGGAGACGTCAGACACATGCTTTGATCTAGATCTTGAGGTGAGAAGACACACCTTTAATCTGGGCCACACCTTCTGCTGGAAGTCTAATAGGGCATAGAAGAAGGAAACTTTGGCTGTTTGTCTGCTTGCCCTCAACTTGCTGACACATCCATTCCTTCACTGGCATTGGAACCTACTTCTTCAAGACTCCAGCATATACTGAAGAGCAGCTGAGACATCCAGGCTTGGAGACTAAACAACTACTGGATTCCTTCTGTTCACAGCCAGCCATTGTTGGATTGCCTGGACTGCAGCCTATCAATCATTCCAATAACCCCCCTTTCCCTATATATCGAGAGAGATTCATTCTATAAATTCTGTTACTCCAGAAAACTGTGACCCATCTAGGTTCACTGCTCACCAAATAGACATACAAACAAATAAACAAAAGGAGCCTAAAGACACTCCGAATCATGCTGTTCTAGGTGCTGCTGGAGCTCAGCCTGGGCAGAGGCACCCCAGTCCCGGGGTGTTAAGCCTGGTTTGGAGGAGAGTCCCCAGAAGGAGGCAACTGAGGGAGTTTGAACAGCTTCCACATAACAGGGGAACCTGCAGTGGGTCCTGCGGGACGCGTAGGAGCTTGCGAAGTGGAGAGGAAGACACATTGGAAGCAGCTGATGCAGGCTGGACCTGGTGAGGGCTGAGGTTGGTGGCCGCTGCCTGGTGGGTTCCAGCTGGGATAGAGACCCACGCCAGGGCCACCAGGACGGCCTGCTGGCTCGCTCCTCCTTGCTGCTCACACAACAGGACCTGCTCACAGGTGGCAGTCCCTCCCACACCACTGTCAATCAAGAAAATCCCCCACAGGCCAGTCTGATGGGGGCGTGTCCCCTGCTCAGTTCCTCAGTGACGCAGGGCAGGCTTCCTGCTGCCTCGTTTTCAAACACTTTACCATCGGCCCTGCCCGCCCCACCTCAGGACCTTCTGCCCCAGCCAGGTTTCGCCTCACACATCCCCCCTCGGGTGGCTTCTTTATCAGACCATCTAAATCTGAACGAAGTGGGAGGGGGCATTCTGCACGTCTCAGAAAAAGTGGACACAGGTGTGAGGGCCTGAACTCAGCAATTCTGACACACACAGAGGAGTGTCTTTCCTGGGAGATACAGTGTGGGTGAAACTTCCTCACAACTTATTGTTTACTCCTTGCTCTTTTCATATGAAAGACCAGAGGCAACATCATTGTGAAAGCAATAAACTGCTGGAAACAGGAAGGGCAATGACCTCTTCCCTGCCGGGGTCAGCATGGTTTTGTAAAGTCTCGAATTTCATGGCCTCGGGCTGCGGGCTGCCTATGTTTGAAAAGGTGACACACACACACTCCCCCATACCAGGAGGGCCACTAGAAGGCTGACTGGTGACTGAGGTGGAGTCAGGCACTGTCCCAGTGACAAATGACAGAAAGTTACAGGGCACACGTGTTCAGACGTCACAATTCTGTAAAAAGTATTTATTACATTGTGTGTGTGTGTGTGTGTGACGGAGACGGAGGGAGGGAGGAGGAGGGAGCACATGTGGAGATCAGAGCACAGCTCTCAGGAGTCATTTCCACCACCGAGTGAGTCCCTGGGAATCGAACCCAGGGCATCAGGCTTGGCCCCAAGCGCCTTTCCTCATCGAGCCGCCTTGCGGGCCCTGAGAGATCGCAGCACTCTGGTGGCCTGGCACCGCATCCGTTCTCACCCATTCGTCCCCTCAGCGGCAGCCTTGGGGAAACTGAGGCTCCGTCTTAGACCCTCATAGAAACCAGTCTCACGTTTATTAACAGAGTTTTAAATAAATACACAATCCACCCACTCACGCAGCCCGACCCCAATAAATTAATAATATTAATAAATACAAGGGGGCCGGTGAGATGCCTCAGCGGTTAGGAGCACCGGCTGCTCTTCCAGAGGACCCGGTTCCTTTCCCAGCACCCACAGGGCAGCTCACACCTGCCTGTGACACCCTCACACAGACACACGTGCAGGCAAAACACCAATGCACATAAAATACAAATAAATAAATTTAAAAAATACAAATATAAATAGCAGAGAGGAGTGCAGGGGAGCGCGCGGCCCGGCGCTCATGCGCAGTGGCAGCCCCGGGCCACCAGGTCGTCGTAGGTCTGCAGTGACACGCCGCTGTCCGTCCGGTGCATGAGGACCACCGGGGTGTAGCTGGAGGGGACGCAGCAGGGGGCGGGCACCCGGTCGGGCTGCAGGCCGTGCAGGCGCGCTTTGATCTGCGCGTGCGTGCTGGCCGAGCGGTAGAGGTGCGGGCACTCGCCCACGCACATGCTCAGCTGCAGCTGGCGCGGGGACAGCACCCAGTCGCTCCAGCCCAGGTCCTCGAGGGTCGCCTGCACCGTCTGCAGGTGACAGCAGCGCCCGGGGCCCAGCGGGCAGGCGTCTCTGGGGCGCGCGTGCGCGCTGCGGCGCCCCCTGCCGGCGGCCGGCCACAGGTGCAGTTCCAGGCGCGCGCCGCCAGAGGGCGCCACGGCCAGGCCCGGGGGCGGCGCCAGGCGCAGGCGCAGTGCGCGGCCGCGGGGTCCCCGGAGGCTGAGCGCGCGCCGCAGCGGCACGGTGACGTCCCAGGGCCGCGACGGCGGCGGCAGCACGAGCAGCGCTCGGTGCACGCGGTGGGCTTCGGGGAGACGCTGCGTCAGCGACGCCCGGACGCGGAGCAGCAGGCGGCCGCGGGGGCCCCGTCGCACTGCAGAAGAGACGGAAAGTGTCACTCGTGTGCCCGCGTGCACGGACGCCACTCTCGTGCCCGCGTGCACGGTGCACGGACGGCAAACGTGGGCGGCCCAGGCTAGCCGCAGCCCAGGCTAGCCGCAGCCCAGGCTAGCCTCCCAGACCCGCCCGCCCCGGCCCTGGGGTTAAAAGCGTGGCCACCACGCCTGGTTCTGAAGCAGGATTTGGTGGCTGACACCTGTCATCTCAGAACTTGGGAAGCGGAGGCAGGAGGATTGCCCTGAGTTTGAAATCGGCCTAAGGCTACAAAAGCATCTCAAAAAACAAAAAAACCCTAAAATGCCAAGAGAAAAATTTAAAATTTGGGACAGGTTCTCACTATGTAGCCCCAGCGGGCCTTGAACTCATGGCAATCCTCCTGCCTCAGCCTCTCGAGTAGCTGGGATGACAGGCGTGCGCCACCACAGCCGAAGCCATGGAGACTCCCGCTCCGGGACCGCGGCACTGGAGTCACACGGCGCCCGGGGTGCTCGGGGAGGGCGTGGTCCCCCGCCCCGCCCCGGGCCGCCCGGCCCCGCCCCCAGGCCGCCCGGCCCCGCCCCCAGGCCGCCCGGCCCGGGTCCTAGCGCCGGCGACACCTGACCTCCCCCGCCTGACCGTCCCTCGTGGCCGTGGCGGAGTCTTGACCAGCGATTGCGTCAGATCCCCGACCCAGTTCCTGCGGGTCTCCCTCTGGCTCCGCCGCCCCGCGCCCCGCCGCCCCTTCTCCTCCGCCGTCCCTTCTCCGCCGTCCCGCGCCCCGCCGTCCCGCGCCCCGCCGCCCCGCGCCCCGCCGCCCCGCGCCCCGCCGCCCCGCGCCCCGCCGCCCCTTCTCCTCCGCCGTCCCGCGCCCCGCCGCCCCGCGCCCCGCCGTCCCGCGCCCCGCCGCCCCGCGCCCCCGCCGTCCCGCGCCCCGCCGTCCCGCGCCCCGCCGTCCGGCGCCCCCGGCGCCCCGCGCCCCGCCGTCCCGCGCCCCGCCGCCCCGCGCCCCCGCCGTCCCGCGCCCCGCCGTCCCTTCTCCGCCGTCCGGCGCCCCCGGCGCCCCGCGCCCCGCCGTCCCGCGCCCCGCCGTCCCGCGCCCCGCCGCCCCGCGCCCCGCCGTCCGGCGCCCCCGGCGCCCCGCGCCCCGCCGTCCCGCGCCCCGCCGCCCCGCGCCCCCGCCGTCCCGCGCCCCGCCGTCCCTTCTCCGCCGTCCCGCGCCCCGCCGCCCCGCGCCCCCGCCGTCCCGCGCCCCGCCGTCCCTTCTCCGCCGTCCGGCGCCCCCGGCGCCCCGCGCCCCGCCGTCCCGCGCCCCGCCGCCCCGCGCCCCCCACCCCAGCGCTGTGCACCTTCGGGGGGACCCCGGCCTCTCTGGACCGTCTGCAGCTCCCACGCTGGCTGAGCCCGCTGCGCGCAGGACCGCGTCACCCCAGAGGGGACAGGGTCTTCCTACCCGCCGAGCTGGGGAAACTGAGGCTCGCAGGCTGGACTGAGCCTCGTGGACTCGAACGTGTTGGTTAGACGGGGGGTGGGGTGGGCGTGTCGCTCAGGTGGGACCCCAGATGCCACTCACCTTCTGGAGTGAGTATCCGGACGGTCGGGCCGGGGGCGGGCTCTGAGTTCCAGTCCTCCCGGCTCCGGTTAGCTTGCAGCCGGCTCAGCAGGTCCTGGAAGCGACCGCGTAGCTCCCGGGCGTCGAGCTGGGCCTCCTCCGGGTGGGCGCGTCGCTGCTCGGGCAGTGCCAGGGCGTCCCCCGGCGGCGGCCAGGACAGCAGCAGCAGCAGCAGCAGCAGGAACAGCAGGAACCTGAGCTGCGGGGCGTGCGGAGGCCGGGGCAGGGCCATGTCGGGGCGGCGTGGGGCGCGCGGCTTCGAGCTGAGCCTCCCGCCGCCGCCGCCGCCGCCGCCTTTATAGCCCCGGACTCCGTCCGCCCCGCCCCGCGCGCGGTGCCAACTCGGGTGACCAGGCTGATGCGGCGGGAACCCCAGGGCGGGGGGAAGCCGCGGGGTCTGGTGACCGTGAGGCCGGGCCGTCCCCGCCGAGCACGTGACTGGAGTTCCTGCGGAGTCCCCCTTCCCCCGGGACCGGCTCCCCCATCGAAGGGGGAGCTTTAACAGAAGCCGAGGGAAAGCTGGAGAGCGCAAGTCCGGGCAAGTCCCCGTGCTGGCCTCGGTGTCCCACATCTGCACCCCATGCGCCGTGACGTGGGGCCGCGGCCCCAGCCGGTCCCGCGCCTGCTCGGGGTCCCCGTCACACTCCCACGACCCTCCTAACGTTGCCTTTCCAGGCTGACCGCGCGCTCACACGCAGGTCCCCGTCCGTGTCTCCCCAGATCGGTGGCCCCTGGGGGACAGCGCAGGAAGTCCACTGTGCGCCACTGCCCTGCGCTTGGGTGCAGGCGGGCGGCTGCAGGCCTGGGGCGCGGGAGGGTCGGGCCTGCCGAGGGTGGAGACGGTGCTGGACCCCGCCCCGGCCGGGGTCTCCTGGGGTACGGATGGCCGCGTGGACGTGGGGCTGCCGGAGGGAGGAGGAGGGCTGGCAGGAGCCGCCGCTTGCCCTGCTCTCCTCGGCTGCTCGGCCGCTCCTCGCAGCTCCGCTCCGATCCTGGAGGTGCTGCCGGGCACCCTCTGGCGGCTGCGGCCGGGACGTGGGCAGAGCGGCCGCTCGGATGCGCAGGGCGCGGGCTCGGTGCGGGGACCGGCTGGCGGCGGGGGAACCGAGGCGGGGACCGAGAAGGCAGCACCCCCGGGTAGCACAGGCTACCTCTCTGGACCAAGGCATTTTCTTCCGGGCCTGGCTCGGCGGTGGAGCGCTTTCCTAGCACGCAGAGGCCTTTTCCAAAACACGGCCCCTCGGAAAGACGGGGTGTCACCGAGGGTCCCCCAGGCTCCCCCCACTGCTGTGTGTGGCCCGCGAAGCCTCCAGCTCACGCCGTGGGGTCACCACAGGCTGTGGCGCAGGTCTAGACACCCCATGTGATCAGGGTACACAGTGGGCGCTCAGGAAATGCACTGTGGTGCCATCCAAACTCAGCTCTTCGTAGCTAGAGACCCAGGCAGGCTGACATGTGGGGGGACTAAGTCCCCGGAGAAACACCTGTGTCAGAGGCAGGCCTAGGGAACGTCCCTCCTGCCCCAGCGCCCTCTCACTCTGTGACCCCAAACCCACCATCCTCCTGCCTCAGTCTCCTGAGTGCTGAGATGACTGGACTGAGCCACCCAGCTCTTTTCCTTGCTGTATACTATTCCACCACCACCCCCTACACAGAGTGGTGCCCCCGCCCACGAAGGGGCGTCTGTGTCTTTAAGACCAGGATCGGTCAGCCATTCACTGTGCTCATGGAGTGTCCTCCAAGGGCTCCAGAGCAGCAACGCTCCGTGGGGTCCCCACCGTCCACAGGCATCACCCCCCCCCCCACAGAGATTTCCGGTTCAGGAAACTCTGGAACATGGCATCGTGCCAACGTGCCTTCCCTTCCCCCAAGCCCTCGTTTGATGACCTCATCGCCAGTCCTGGGCCATGCAGGGGAGCGGGGTGGCCCGTCTGTGGGCCGCCGGCCAGCCATGACCTCAGCGGCCGGGACCCGACTTCCTCTCCAGGACCAGCGTTGCTGGTCCCGAGGACACTCCGGGGCAGAGGTGAGCTGCCCGCACCGGCCCGCTGCGCCCGTGTCAACACCGGCCCCTCATGAGAGAGCAGATCAATTGGAGTGTCACGGGAGTCACTAGAGCACAGGGCGACCTGCTGTCCTCACGCCACGATGACCTCGGGGCCTGGGGTGGTCCCGGGGCCGGGCCCAGGGGCTCAGATCCCTGCTTGGAGCCGAGTGGATGAGGCTTCAGCGGAGCTGCGCGCCCAGGATTCACCCACCAAGACAGGTTCTCAGCCGTGAGTCAGACAAGCTTGGGCGGACTCCATGCCGAGCTCCTACGCAGCTCCTAGACCTCACTTTCGGAGCCCCGTGTTTCTGTCACCGCTCAGGTGTGGGTCGATCTGTGAGTTCCAGGGCGGGCCTTTTCCTTTCCTTGGAGCTTTGAGACAGGGCCTGCCTAACCGTAGCTAGTCTCAAGCTCTGCCCCAGCCTGACTGCCGGAGGACCAGACGCCCGATCCACCTTTGTAATCCCACCACGGTCCACCGTTATAATCCCACCACAGTCCACCTTTGTAACCCCACCACAATCCACCGTTATAATCCCACCACAATCCACCGTTATAATCCCACCACGGTCCACCGTTATAATCCCACCACAATCCACCGTTATAATCCCACCACGGTCCACCGTTATAATCCCACCACAGTCCACCTTTGTAACCCCACCACAATCCACCGTTATAATCCCACCACAATCCACCGTTATAATCCCACCACGGTCCACCGTTATAATCCCACCACAATCCACCGTTATAATCCCACCACAGTCCACCTTTGTAATCCCACCACAATCCACCGTTATAATCCCACCACAATCCACCGTTATAATCCCACCACAATCCACCGTTATAATCCCACCACAGTCCACCTTTGTAATCCCACCACAATCCACCATTATAATCCCACCACAGTCCACCGTTATAATCCCACCACAATCCACCGTTATAACCCCACCACGGTCCACCGTTATAATCCCACCACGGTCCACCGTTATAATCCCACCACAATCCACCGTTATAATCCCACCACAATCCACCGTTATAACCCCACCACAATCCACCGTTATAATCCCACCACAGTCCACCGTTATAATCCCACCACAATCCACCGTTATAATCCCACCACGGCCCACCGTTATAATCCCACCACGGTCCACCGTTATAACCCCACCACGGTCCACCGTTATAACCCCACCACGGGTGCCTTGCTCCGTTCACAAAGGCAGCGTCAAGGTCACAGCCAGGACCCCAAGAAACCATCCTCCTGCTGTGTCCACCGGGATGGGGCACAAAAGCCCCGGGCTCAGAGAACAGACCCACCCACCCAAATCCCGAGGCTGCCATCCGGGTCTGTGAGGCTCCTGTGAATCTCCAGGGCCACAGGGCTTTCTGTTCATTCACTCATTCATGCTCCTTCATTCGCTCCCCAGGCTCTTCTGTGCTGGGGAGGCAGCCGGGCCTCTGCTCCGGGGACACTTAGATGCCATATTTACTTAGGGAAACTGTTTTCTTTCTTTCTTTCTTTCTTTTTTTTTTTTTTTTTTTGGTTTTTCGAGACAGGGTTTCTCTGTGTAGTTTTGCGCCTTTCCTGGATCTCGCTTTGGAGACCAGGCTGGCCTCGAACTCACAGAGATCCGCCTGGCTCTGCCTCCCGAGTGCTGGGATTAAAGGCGTGCGCCACCACCGCCCGGCCTGTTTTATTTCTAAAGCACATGCGACATCAACATACTATTTTATGTAAAACAAACATCGCCGCCCCTGGGTTCTTGAACATCCTATCCCAAAGGAAGCACAGGCACTCTCACGGCAGCCCGGGGGACACACGTCTGTCCCGCCGTGTGTAACACACTCTCACGGCAGCCCGGGGGACACACGTCTGCCCCGCGGTGTGTAACACACTCTCACGGCAGCCCGGGGGACACACGTCTGCCCCGCGGTGTGTAACACACTCTCACGGCAGCCCAGGGGACACACGTCTGCCCCGCCGTGTGTAACACACTCTCATCCCAGCAGCCCCAGGGGACACACGTCTGTCCCGCCGTGTGTAACACACTCTCACGGCAGCCCGGGGGACACACGTCTGTCCCGCGGTGTGTAACACACTCTCACGGCAGCCCGGGGGACACACGTCTGCCCCGCGGTGTGTAACACACTCTCACGGCAGCCCGGGGGACACACGTCTGCCCCGCCGTGTGTAACACACTCTCACGGCAGCCCGGGGGACACACGTCTGTCCCGCAGCCCAGGGGACACACGTCTGTCCCGCGGTGTGTAACACACTCTCATCCCAGCAGCCCCAGGGGACACACGTCTGTCCCGCAGCCCAGGGGACACACGTCTGTCCCGCGGTGTGTAACACACTCTCACGGCAGCCCCAGGGGACACACGTCTGTCCCGCCGTGTGTAACACACGGCCTTCCTCCGGCCAGGCCGCCGTCTCCCGCCGTGTTGTGCACTAAGGGGAAAACGCTGTGTCATGAGGTGACCGGGAACTTCTGCCAGGCGAGCACCCAGGCGTGCGTGTGAGAGTGAGCAGCAACAGAAAAACAGCCTCTAGGAAGTGAGGCAGGAGGGTCCGGGCTCAGCAGGGTCACGAGTGGCCTGGAGGCCAGTGTTTGGGCAAGTCACAACTTCCTGGCACACGCTGAGCAGGAGGCTGGGGCCAGCTCGCTTGGGACTGTGCCTGGAGCCCAGGCGGCGGGCGCTTGGATCCGGGCAGATGTTAGGTCTCAGGCTGGACTAAGGACTGCTGGCCGGCAGAAAATGCCAGCATTGCTCCGGACCTTGTGGAATGGGTTTTCTGTCCCCACAGGAGTCTCCCCCCAGCCACTCGTCCTTCTGTCCAGGAGAATCTGTCCATCCCGCGCTCTTGCCGACAGCCCCGCTGTGTCCGGTTGGATTCTCTCTGTTTCTGCTCTGGACTCGTCCAGTTGGACGTTTTCTCCCTTTACCCACGATGAAAACCCTCCCCTCGGCGGCCTCTGTCCAGCACGGCCACAGCTCGGGCTCCGGAACCCTGGGCAGACAGCTTATATAGCCAGGGGGAAGGCGGGTCAACGTGTCCGAGCCAATCCCAGCCAACCTCTATGTGACTGAAGCCCGTGTTCCCACCAATCACAGCGCCGCCTCTCGCCAAGGGTTTCGGGCCTTGTCTGCCCCCTACTCGGCGCCCCCTCCCCCAGCTGCGTAAACCCTCGGGCTGCTGAAACCTGGGGGGGACA